AACGTGCTTGAAGTGGAACTGTTCGATGTGTGGGGGATAGACTTCATGGGTCCCTTCGTATCATCCTTTGGGAACTCCTACATCCTGCTGGCAGTGGACTACGTTTCAAGATGGATAGAACCTGTAGCTGATAAGAACAATGATGCTAAAACTGTTCTCAGGTTTCTAAGAAAAAATATTTTCGCCAGGTTTGGTACACCCAGGATGATACTCAGTGATGAAGGATCACACCTCTGTAACAAGTCATTTGCAGCCATGGTAAAGAAATATGGAATCAGGCACAAGGTATCAACACCATACCATCCACAATCAAACGGGCTAGCAGAAGTGTCAAACAGGAAAGTGAAAAGAATCCTGGAAAAGGTTGTTAATTCTACCAGGAAGAATTGGTCCTCAAGGCTGGATGAAGTTTTATGGGCATATAGGACAGCATACAAGACTCCCATTGGTATGTCTCCATTCAAACTGGTCTATAGAAAGGCATGCCACTTGCCAGTAGAGTTGGAACATAAAGCTTACTGCGCTATCAAGGAACTGAATCTTGATCCGGGCAAAAGCAAGGAATTAAGATTGATCCAGTTGAATGAACTGGAAGAATTTAGACTAGAGGCATACGAATCGTCCAGAGTCTACAAAGAGAAAACTAAGGCTTACCATGATCAACGAATCGTCCAGGTCTTGTTGTACAATTTCAGGCTGAAATTCTTTCCAGGAAAGTTGAAGTCAAGATGGACCGGGCCCTACAAAATCAATAAGGTCCTAACTCATGGAGCAGTGGAGATCATGAACCCACAAAGTGGCAACACCTTTTTGGTCAATGGTCAGAGGCTTAAGCCATACCTTGGATGGACAGAAGGGAGTAAAGGACAAGAACTATCAAGTTCTGGTCCCTGAAGGAACTTTACTGAAATTTCTTTTGAAGTTTGGCATGAGACTTAAAACCAATGCGCTTTATGGGAGGCAACCCATACGTTTTGCTTTTATATGGCTGACAATGTGCTACTCTAATTTTTGCAGGATTGGACAAGAAATTTGCCACCCCAACAGATTTCAAAAGGTGTGACAGAGAGGGCCTCAGGTAAACTCACTCCTAGGAGTGAAGAAGGTCACTCAGCTGAGTGGACCTAAGGGAAGGAATCCTACGAATTTTCTAACCCTGACGTCACTCACGCAAGAGGAACAATCCACTCACCTGAGTGAGAACAACTATGCCGCCGGCAAGGAGGAAGGCTGCTGCCCGCAAAAACGCCTCCAACACAAGGAGAAGGATATCATCCTCCTCATCCTCGCCCTCTCCTGAACGGCAAAGAATGCCCACTCCACCAGCATCCCCTGCCAGAGAACCCACCCACCGCCACCTCCACAACCACCAAGGGCACTGCAAGAACAAGCCTTAATGCCATCACAGATGAATGGGAGCCCAGATTGTTTCCAAGGAAGAAGGGTTGGGATTTCTTTTTGAAGCACATAAGGCGAAAGTTCATTCCAGAAAGGGGAATCGATGAAGATGGCGCCGCTTTTGCCTACATCAAGCGCCATGGCTGGGAGGCCTTCTCCAAACCACCTATCAAGCCACGGATCCAGATTGTGCAAGAATTTTACGGCAACTACCACACTGCCCCCAGAGATGGAGTGTTCGTCAGGGGCATCAGCGTCAATTGCAGCACAGAGGCCATCAGGGCCATCTGGAAATTACCAAGAATAAGCACAGATTACAGAGAAACCTTGGCTGCCCTGCATCCAAATCAACCGCTGGAACAGGCCATTCTGTCCAGATTGGCAAAAGAAGGCACAAGCTGGGAGATGGATGAGCAAGAAAACCCTTTGGGGTTTTCAGCCAACGCGTTGCAAACGCTGACTTAAATCTGTGGCACCATTTCATCTGCTGCAATCTGATGCCAACATCCTACACTGCTAAGGTCACCTACGAGATAGCTCTGCTGCTGTATGCCATTGTCACGGACACACCATTTGATGCAGCCTCAGTCATCCGGGAGCAACTCACCCGATGCATCACTGATCCAAAGGTGAAGAGCTGGTATTTCCCAGTTATGGTCACCATGCTATGCAAAAGGGCAGGGGTGACCTTCCTGCACACAGACGCAGAGAGCAACTTGCAGCAACCATTAAGGATGCATAAGTTGGATCAGAAACCCCCTGGTGCCTCATCCACAGGACAAACAACATCCACTCCCACTCCAACTGGACAATTGAGGCAGAGGGATTTCAACAAACAGACCAGGTTCATCCTGGATTACGTCCACCAGTGCCAGATGAGGACGGAGAAATTCCTGCAGGAAATGCACAAGTGCATTGGATGCCCTGAAAATTGCCCAATGCCGCATGATCCGCCAGTCTACCCACTTCACGGAATGCCTCAATGAACACTCAGGGAACTGCTGTTCTGCTTCCCTTAATCAGCAATTTATTTGTTTCCTGTTTAATGTTTCATGTGTTGTCTTCTGTACTCTTTGTTTTCTGTTTATTGTTGTTGCTGGGTTGGTGTTGTTAAGCATTGGGGGCAATGCTTAGAATAAGTTTGGGGGAGTAATGTAGTAGTAGTTAGTTTGTGGTTAGGTCGGTCAATGTCAGGACAGTGCCATTTAGGTCCATTAGGTTCATGTCTAGATTGACTTTGTAAAATATCTCTCAAAAATGAAAATCTTCTAAGGAGCTGTCAACAGTCTAGGATGATAATGGTTTTGAAAAACAATTTTGCTAAACCACTTTTTGATCACTTTTTGATACCAAGTCTGATGCGTGAAAGGAGAAAATGGCTGACACTCACTCACACACATGAACAATGCGACTCGTGGAAGTGAATGCCTAGAACATAAATCTTAAGATTTGGCATGACTAATCCACTGTTGTGAGCTGTGTCTAGTTCTGAGCTACAATTAGATGAGAAATGCCGTAAATCTGAGATTTCCTTTGTGGTACCCATTCACAGCCTGCTTGCTTTCACAAAAAAAAATAATAAAATAAATAATAATCTTAGGGAATGGATCAACCGAAACCTTAGGGGTAACAGCAAGGAACCACCACAAAAAGTTCCAAACTGTTGGAGTAATAAGGGTTTAGGGGTAACAGCAAGGAACCACCACTCCCATTCTCAAAAAAAAAAAAAAAAGATTTCCTAAATAAATAAAGCATAAAGGCTGTGCAGGAATTCCAGGATTGAAGTCTCAGTAGGTAAATCGAGTCAAGTAACTTGGGCAAGACCAGGTCACAAGAATGACCACCAAAAGTTTAACCGGTTAACTTAGAATGGATTGGTAGGTTTGGCATGAACAAACACTTGTGGCATATGCATTCTAAATTCCCTGTGAAGGTTGGTTGTTTGACTCTGGATTGCAGAAAGATTTGGTATCCTCAATGTATGTTTTCTTCACTTGAATCTGAGGCGGAAAAGTTGACAGCACCTATCTGGTTGTGTTTAAGGTTGTTGCTTGTTTAGTGTCACTCACCTGAGTGGGAATCCTTACTCAGGGGGATAAGTCAATCTTCAGTCATTTGGTCTTTCCTAGTTGTTATGTGCAATTCCGAAAGTGCCAACAAAAGTTTAGTGTTTTGCTTGAGGACAAGCAATTCTTCCAGTTTGGGGAAGTTGATAATGGTTAAATTGTTACATAATAGCATCACACTTAACTTTGTATTTGATGAACAATTGGGGGTATTTCCTAACATTGGTGCAATTTACTTAGCTCATTTTGATATTATTGTTAGTAAAGGATCGGACTGAATAATTGCTGAAAATTGGGAGCCAAAGGAGCAAATTACGGACTGCTGAGGCAAGGGTGCTGAGCTGGACGAAGAAGAAGGGCCTTAGACAAGAAGCATCTTGTCATTAATGACCTTGCCTCCTCCTAGAGGCATGCTTGTCCCCCAGCCGCATTCCCAGCCACTACTGCTGATCAATGAGAGCAAAACGGCTGCTGCTGGGAGAGAGAAAAGGAACGGCCAAGTGGGATTGTGGGCTCAAGACATTGGAAGGATTAAACAACTCCAAGCATGGGGAGGTTCTCATGATGAAGACACCAGTTGCAAAGTACTATAAAGAAGGGGAACGGCACTCTCACAGGGGATCTCTCTCTATCAGTCTCTGGTTAGCTTCTTAGTTGAAAAAACACTCAAAAAAAAAACTCCAGATAGAAGGCAAGAAAGAAGAAGAAGCAGCAACAACTCAGTGAGGAAGCCAAGTTGAAGAGTAGCAACCCAGTTTCTTCTTCAGTTCCACGAGTGAACCCTTTCACTCCCAGGAGTGACTCAGAAACTGCACAAGCTTCCTTCTCATCTCTTGACTGTTAGCTTGAACTTTATTTATTATGCATACTTCTATGATGTCCTTCGACGTAGATGTAGCATTTATCCGTATGAGTAGCTAAACAGTCCCCAGGGATTATTCTCCTCAACTGATGTTGTAGTTGTCAAAGCACTGGTTTTGTTCCTTGTTTTATGGTTGAAAGTTTTTCTACATTCATTTACTTGATCACTAAATTGAATGCATGCTAGAACTAAGGGAGATCTGGAAGGATAAACTTGGTTTGGATTGTTTCAACTTTAACTTATGACATAGAGGTAACAGTCTATGGTTTTAACTGAGATAGGAATATACTTAGTTAACATAAGCATTCTTGAAGGCCTAAGAACTTAATGACTTTGTAGCTGGAATCAACCATTGGAAAATAGGTTGTTAAGGTTGCAAAGATGACTCTAGGAAAAATGGGAACTGACTTAGAGTTATAAGTGAGCTGAATGAACAAGAACACAACCATTATTGTGCTAATAAAACAACTACAATAGCAGGAAGAGGAGAGAACACCCCTGGCCTCCATTCCCCTGAGTGACTGTTTTCATTCTCCTGAGTGACATCTTGTTGACTGACAGTTTTTCCTTACAACAAATTTGGTAATTAGCTGTCCTCGTAGGAACGACCTAGCTTCCATTATCTACAAAAATCATAATCCAAGCTAGTAATATTATCTTATTTTTTTTGGTGAACTCGGCAAGCCAGTAATATTATCTTATTTTTTTAAATGCAACATTTAGTAACATATATGTACAGAAGAAGATCACAAATGAAGTTGAACACACATGATTATTACAAAGATGGATTTGCAAAAAATTTCCAAAAAGGAAAATTTGAGCAGCAACCTGAAACCAATAAATAATACTAAAACAGAATTAAAGTTTTAAATAGTTAATCATTCAAGGGAATCAGTAATATTGAACGATAGCGTGGTACTCAAGAATGTCATTCAACTTTGCAATGTCAATAGTGACGGTATCCACGGTGGCAATCCCACAAGCTAATCGAAATACTCCTGTACCTCCTAATATTGGCATCTCTCTGTACTCATGAGATATTGGATTGTTTCCTAGAATGCTTAGAGAACTGCCTTTGTAATCTCCTTCCGTTAAGACCAAGTTGATGGCCATAGACAGGACCGGTTCGGCTTGACCTACAAAGGTAAACGTGCCCTGAGCTCGACCAATAAAGTTGGAATTTGGATTTGAATCAACAGTTATTGGAGCATCCATAGCGTAGGTCGATCTGGAAGCAATCGATGCTATATTGTTGGAGTTGGCTGGAGCAATAAGAACAGAAGTGGGATTATTGGCGCTAACATTGTTGTGAACAAAGAAATGGAGCTTCGTGACCTTAGGTTTTGCATGATGCAGAATGTGGTCCTGAAACCATTTCTCCACAACTTCAGGGGTGCTCTCGTGATCAATATTGTTAGCAGTAATAGCCAAAGAAGGAGCCATGATGATCTCAAATTAGCTAGCTTGAAGGTTTCTTTGTGTAGTTTTGAAGTGTTTGATGAAATGCTATGTTGATGAATGTGTGATACCTCCACGGCCATTGCATCTCTATTTATACCAATTTCGTTAGGATACTAGCTAGTTTCCCCGTAAACTCAAAAGTTTGAAAATTTGTCCATTATCCCTTTCCTAGCAGCTATCCCCTCAAAAGACAAAATTACGTGGACCATTCTTGTATTGGAAAATTCTTGGTCAATTCATTCATGAATAATAAGCCATCAGATTCTAAGTATGGAATATATTGTAGTAGGGAATTTCATTAATTCACAATTAAGTAAAAACACTCTATGTATGTTTTTAATCGTGTTAGATGCCCCCAATTGACAATGAGCTTAATATAATTTCAATTCCTAGTATGTACGGCAGGTTAACGAATAAAGAAATCTCAATTGGTCATTCTCCAATTGCTAGTAATTAAACAACCTTTGACCATGACTTATTCGAGCATGTCTAATGGAGGTTTCCTTGCTAGGACTTTTCCGAGTCAAATATTTTTTTAAGCAGATGGAGCCATTGTTGATCTTAAATCTAACCTGTTCAATCCAATTGTATTTCCATGATTGCATGCATGGGAACAAAACTATCTTTACCTATATATTTATATTTCAGAAAACAAAAGTACTACAATATACTCCTCGGATCTTTATTATAAGGCATTTTGATGTCGTCCCAAATTTCACCTAAGATATCTTTTTAATTGAAAAAAAAACCTTAAAAACATATTTTCACGTTCTTTGTGTCCTACTCTTTATTATGAAATGTTTTTAAGATTTTTTTTTCCATTCAAAAGTACATCCTAGGTGAAACTTAGGATGAAATCAAAATGCCTTATAATAAGGACCGGATGTAATAGCCTATATAGGTGGTGACGTTGAAAGATCTTCTCTTTTAAATTACTCGCTCGGCTATTACAGATGATATACATAAGATTTTAGTGATAGTTCAAAGTCCTATACGAGTCTGGAGCTAAATTATGTTCACAGAAAAACCCAATCAATGTATGTCTTATATATAACGAAAGCATATTCAGATAAGACTTGATCCTTAGATCTTTAAGAATTTACTTATAACGTAATCACCAAAGGTCTAAAGATAAAATATTTGAGTAGGTCACTTTTCGTAATAATAGATTTGGGGTCACATATATTTACCATTAATGAATTAATTAATAGTTTTAGAGAGCAGTCTGTTACATTTTTGTTTGTTTCAAAAACAACATAACTCAAGCCTCGAGGTGTCACTGAAGAAACCAGTGCAGTTCCAATAGTTCCACTTGATTCGAACACTTATATAGTTTCATATATAATAAGGACCGGAGAACATTTTCCAGCAAGGCACCAGGTAAACGGGGAGAAAAACAGAACAGTTAGAAATGAGAAAAAAGAACTCCACAACACCAGAAATTAAGAACATGTGTAAAATTAAAGGCTTGCCACTATAATAAACGTTAATAACGAGACACTAATTAAGAAATTATGTTACTCTCAATTAAAGCATCACGAAGAAGAAGACTTGACGCTTAACCACTGTTTTGATCGAAGTGCACATTTTCTGAGTTCATGTCCGTTTATAGCTTCAAATGATTAACGGAAAATTATATATTTATTCAGTAATGTATCGAAGAAGATTACAAATTTATTTTTATCGTATAACTATTACAAAGATAACAATCGAATTCAGAGGAAAACATGTAAACAAATATACAAATGAAATAACATAATTATAAGCTGGGAATTGCTAATCAAGAACTGATCAAGCAATCAATAATGGATGACAACATGGTATTCCAGAATATCGTTGAGTTTTGCAATATCAACGATCACGGTATTTACGGTTGCAATTCCACTAGCCAGGCGAAAAACTCCTGTACCTCCCAATATCGGCATTTCTCTATACTCATGAGATATTGGATTGTTTCCAAGAATGCATAGAGAACTTCCCTTGTAATCTCCTTCCGTGAACACCAAATTTATGGCCATTGACAAAACAGGCTCCTCCTGACCTACAAAGGTGAACGTGCCCTGAGCTCGACCAATGAATTTGGAGTTAGGATCTGAATCAGTAGTTATCGGAGCATCCATAGCATAGGTTGATCCGAAAGATATTGATGCTATATTGTTGGTGTTGGCTGGGGCAATAAGAAGAGAAGTCGGATGATCGGCTGTAACATTATCATGGACGAAGAAATGGAGTTTGGTGATCTTTGGTTTTGCATGATGCTCAATGTGTTCAGTCGATACAACCGGGAATCCAATTGGCTTGGTCTTGTAGTTGTCTTCCCCGTCCTCTCCAACCAGTCGACTTTATCTTTCCATGGGGAGCTGGTCCCAGGTGGAAGTGACAATAAGGTTGAGTCGAAGAAATCCACTCGCATAGCTTTCTCTCGTGGTCGGACGGACTCCACCAATGGAATGGTGTTTGAGTGAAGAGCGGACTTTAAGCTCTTTTTGTAGTCCTTATCTTTACAACTTCGTCTGAGGGTGCTAACTGTGATCTCATTTTCGTTTCAAACCTACTTTGTGATGGCATCAGGAAGATTACATGATGTGAAGATTCGGCCTTTTCATGGCCTATTTCGGTCAATAGAACAACATCTAGATGAAACCATTTCTTTACCACCTGAGGGGTGCTCTCATGATCAACATTGCTACCATTAGCCAAAGGAGGGACCATGATGACGATTTTAGTAACTTTAGGTTGAATGGCTTTTTGGGTTTTCTTTGAAGTGTTTGATGGAAATAGGGTTGAAGATCGCGTGATATCTCCATTGTCATCCATCCATCTATTTATACACATTCAATACCATACTAGTCTCCGGTTAGGAGTTGAAATGGTTGACTAAATAAAAAAACTTGAAATATGGGCGTTAGCCCTAGGCGACCTTGACCGGAAGAAAAGTAGGTTTTATATGTTTCATTTGGATCTTTCTGTTTGGGGACTTTTCTTGGTCAAAATTACCAAATAAGCTGATTTTTAATTCCCCAATATGGAATAAACCATGAAGGAATTGAATAAAGAAAAAAAACGAAAATCAGTTTTACTAGCATCCTCAATCAAGCAGCCATGGTTACAAGTCAATGCAGTTTAATTTAGGAAAGATATAAAAAGTACTTTGGACCATCTCGGCACTGCCTTTTCCTTTCGGTTTTTAATTTATCCATTCATCTTTTTTTCAACCTTTATCCTCTTGTGCTTCTCATGTACCGCTAGACCAACTGACCAATTGTATATTAACAAGTAAACAAAAAGGGTAAATTGCTTTCTCGGACATATTTATAAGTAATAATAATACCTTTGTCCTAAAAAAATATTCTAATTTTAGAAATGTAAATCTTAAAATTGAATCTATGACATTAATATAACGTGAAATTGATTATTAAATTGATAAATAGTCATAAAAATTTGTTCAATTTTTCACATTAAATTATTTTTTTAAAATCGTGCAAAGGTCAGTGCCTAAGATTTACTAAAAGGGACAATGTCATTACAAAGTTGCATGATCTTTAAGAAGAAAGAGAAGGTACTATTGAGGTACTTGAGAAGAGCTGCGCACAAAAAAAAAAAAAAATTTGGTCTAACTTAACAAGGCCTATGATGGTAGGTGGTAGCTCCTTCAATAACAAGAATTGGGAAAATTGCCGATGAGGCAAGTTTTGCCAAACTATCTGCCATGCCTTGCCGTTCGCCTCTATGAAGATATGGGTGATGGAGTAATTCCTCCTATGTAAACAAGCCGCAATCTCTTTCCTCTCTGAGAAGTATTTCCATGGATAACCAGCACCTTTTTGAGTCATATCTACTATCATCTCAGTAGCATTTTTAGTGAAATGTAAACAATATATTAATGGTAAAATAGCTCAATTGTTACCACTTCAGAAGGTTGCACAACTACCTGATCACTACTATCTACTATCTATTTATAAACTATTACAACAAATTTTCCATTCTACCAAAACTGCCTAATTAAAGAACATTTGCAGCACTTTTGTTTCTCCTGCGATCCATGCTCTCCTCTGTTTGCGCCATACTCTGATCTTGGGTTTCATTATGTATTAGTCCCAATAAATTCTCCACTGACCTTACAACTCCAGTGAACACCCTTCTATTTATTTCTTCCTGGATATGGTACAAAGCTGCATCTAACACAGAAAGAAAGACCCTCCGTTTCGTGCCATTCCCTTGCCTGATTTTGATAACCTGTTGTTGCCACCTTTCCAATACATAAGAGATCTTCCTGTTTCCTAACCAATCCTGAATCCTTCTCAACAATTCAGAAGCATAACTACATTCAAAAAATAGATGTCTAACAGACTCGTCTACCTGAGAACATAGTATGCATCTACTATCCAACACAAGAATATTCATATGAATTAATCGATCTCTTGTTAGAAGCCTCTGTTTCCATACTAACCAGGAGATGAACGCATGTTTCGGGACATTCATACCTAAAAAAACACATGTAGCTCCCTGCCATTTACCTTGCACTCCCATTAGCCACTAATAACCTGAACTGATTGTATACACACCATTTCTAGCAACCTTCCAACAATTTTCATCAAACCCTGCCCTGGCAATGTCTCTTATTTTGAGAATTTGCTTCCAATGCCAACTGTTATCCAGCTTAGGTTGAATATTCCAAATGGACGATTTCTTTATGTAAACAGCATGCACCCGTTTAATCCACAAATTATTCGCTTTGTGAGCCAAGCTCCAAACTTGTTTCAGAATGGCAGCTCTATTCCATATTTTTGCGGCTCTAATTCCAAGACCCCCTTCTGATTTACTCCTACAGATATCATCGCATTTTACCAGATATATAGCTTTAGCCCTACTCTTATTTCCTCATAAAAACACCCTACACACTCTATTGACAGCAAATGTTACACTTTGTGGAAGAATGAAAACAGAACCCCAATAAACATGCATGGATAACGAGACTGAATTGAGAAGCTGCACTCTACCGGCATACGACAAATGCTGGGAGCTCCAACACTTAATTCTACCAACCATCCTACTAATAATATCATTACATTTTAACTGTGACCACTTTCTAGGAGAAAGAGATACACCAAGGTACTTCATGGGAAAAGAACCTTTGCGAAATTGGGTCAGATTACATACCTCTTCCTACAACTGACTGTTTATCCCTCCAAAATACATCTCTGATTTCTGCAGGTTAGCCACCAGACCAGATGCCCTCGGAAACTCAGAGAAAACTGTTGTAATTCCTCCAATAGTCTTAATATCTGCCTTGCAAAAGACCATAAGGTCGTCTGCGAAACAAATATTAGTGAGTTTCAAATGGCCACATAGGGGATGAAATTTAAACCATGACTGCATAGCTAGACGCTTCAAACTTCGCGTCAGATACTCCATGATCAGCAGGAAAGGTAAGGGTGAGAATAGATTCCCCTGCCTCAACCCTCACTTTACTTTAAAAAACCCAGAACAATTGCCATTAATGGACACAAAATAGGAGGTTGATGTGATATAGGCCATAATCCAGCTTCGAAATTCTTCCGGGAATCCATATTCTATTAACATCTCAGTAGTATTAAATTGTTTTGTTTTCAATATATTATCTAATTTTTATATTTTAATTTTTTAAATTGGACAATTTTTTTGGATGGAGGTAATACATAATTTGTTATAGCAATTTATCTTTCCCGTTAATTTATAGACACATCTTGAGCTAGATAGCCTACACTCATCAAAGCCTCAATGTGAATTCTCCTGAGTTAGGGTTTTTTATTGACGTTTATATCGACAAATAATTACTAAGAATTTTTATCATTATTAATTATTCCCTTCATTTTAAAATATATATATTTTTCTAACAATTTCATCAATACCACTAAAACATTAAATCATATATTTAAAATATAAAAGTACCCTTATTTATTTTCCTTACAACTCGTTCTTAACCAATACAATTTCTTTTAAATAAAATTTTCATTTCCAATGTTAGGTTAATTACTATTGGAAAAATAAGATAAAAGTTGGCTCGATTTTATAAAACGATATATATTTTGAAAAATTTCGAATACCCTAAAACGACATATATATAAAAATGGAGGGAGTATTCTCTCTGTTTTAAAAAATTGGTTCGCTTTAAATTTGGAGACTAACGGAATAGTTTATTACCTAATCTTCTCTATCTGTGTGGATGATTTGTAATCTTACGTACATTAAATTTGCAGATGTAGTATGTATATCTAGAAACCGTATACCATTCCTCGTCATAACATCATTCATCAGCATTTCTTATTAGTTATCTTTAGCTAACTGCCCTTGTAATTTCCTTCTGTAAACACCAAGTTTATAGGCATGGATAGAACTGGTTCCGTTTGCCCTACAAAGCTAAATGTGCCTTGGGCTTGACCAATAAGTTTGGAACTCGGATCTGAATCAATTGTGATCGGAGCAACCATAGCATAGGTTGACCCAAAAGCAATTGATGCTATATTGTTAGTGTTGGTTGGGGCAATTAGAACAGAAGTGGGATTATCCGCCGTTACATTGTCATGAACAAGGAAATGGACCTTGGTGATCTTTGGCTTTGCCTGATGCTGGATGCGATCATGTAACCATTACTCCACAATTTCAGGGGTGCTCTCATGATCAACATTGTTACCGTTGATAGCCAAAGAAGGAGACGTGATGACATGGCATGGTCGTCTTTTATCGACCCTGAATGTTTTCTTTGAGTAGTTTTGAAGTATTTGATGAAATGTTATGTTGAAGAGTTTTGTGATATCTCTCCATGGCCTTCATATCTCTACTTATACTAAGTCATCAACATACTAGTAGTACCTAGTTATAACTTACAAGAGGAAATTGTTGACCAAATCAAAAGCTTGAAAACTTGTCCAGTTACTCTTTCTATGCAGCCTTGACCATATATATAAGTCACCATTCACGTGGACTATGGACCATTCCTGTATTGGAAATTTCTCCGTCCATTAATTCCTTAATGATTATGAGCCATTTGCTAAAAGTGGATTTTTTCGATAGAGAATGTTATTAATCCGTAGATGCCATTTCATTTAATATCATTTACGCAGCGGGACGTCGCATTTGGCAATAGCATGTAACAGAATCAAAGAATTTTAAAATTAGTTTTCATTATCCAATACCTAGTAGACAACCTCGACCATGACCAAAGAAGTGTATGGGGCATCTGGCCATCTCAGTCAAATAGTTTTGTAAGCAGGCATAGGGCAGTGTTGAATTAGATTTCTTGCGTCCACTTGTATTCCTTAATTTACAGCTGGCCATCTAAAATTCTTGCTTTTTCAAAGAAAAAAATTAGATGCCCCATCAGAATTGAATCCTCGACCTTCATGTAATAAGTATCCCCTTTTTAATCACTTCACCGAATCTTCTCAACCCGAAATTATTGTCATGTTTATTAATGTTCTGACAATAAATAATTTGATACGAAAAGGATATATGTTTAGCTCAATACAATTTTCATTTAAATGAAAAGTGGTACGTTTTCCTATAGTTTACCATTTTACAAATATATTTTTTCCGTTTCATTTTTGTATTCTAAGTTTTTGTTGAGTTTTTTCTTTTTTAAACAAAACGGATAAACTAATTATTACTTTTCTAAATTTGTAGCCATTTTTGTATTTTGTATGCCAATTCCATGTGCTCTGTCTGTCCAAAAGAAGAAAAACTATGCCGTCACTAGTGTAGGGCATCATTATCCCATAGGACAGCAGTTTTTGGTGAATTCACCCACGGAAATTGGAAATTTAATGTGTCAAGACGTAGTAGAGGTTTCACCGATTAGAGCCCGTTTTGTAATCACTAAGCAAGTTTTTGCTTCCTAATTGTAAAAAAAAAAAAAAAAAGTCTGAATTGCTGTTCAATTTTACTTGGAAAATCAGAAACAGTTTTTGGACCAGAGGCCCGGAGTATGTATAAAAGATGTAAACATATTCTTTCTTGAGTTTGCCAGTTTGTAACTTTCCCTAATCATCCTGGCAACATTCATGAATTTCAATATTCGAATTTAAGAGTACTTATTAATAAAAATATATAAAATTTAAGACTTTGTAAAAGAAATTACAGTAATTACAATATCATGTTATAGAAAATAAAACTCAGTTTGCCTATACTACCTCCATTTTCTTTTATTTATAGTTTTAGGGTGAACGCGACATATTTTTTAATCCATCATACTTCATTTCTAACGTAATAAAATTTTACGATTACACCTTTTTCACAATACTTAAAATAACATAAATTAATAAAAATTACTTATTTATTCTCCAACTTTTAAATTTTTTACTCTCACAATACTTTTAATTAAGGCCAAGAACGGTATTATACTTACAAATCAAATTATCAATAATTATCTCTTCCTAATACATGTGCATACTCTCATACTACATCTAAGAAAATACCAGTAGTATAATTTTCAACACCTCGATAATTATTAAGAGGTAGTTAATTACTCCCTCCAATGCTCCACCCCAGAGAGAATCGAACCCTCGACCTTCTGGTAATAACCATCCCCTATGTTAATTCCCCTAACCGTCCCAACCAGCCCTCTCAACCAAAAAAAGAAAAAAGAAATCCCATTATGTTTAAGTTCAACAAATAGTATAATATTTTTGGCTCATTACTCCATCACATACAATCCCCAACCAGTAAAAAGGGAATGGGAAGGCCGTACAAGTCTCGTTGGTGGAATTCAACAACTTCGGAGTAAACAATAGGAAGTAGAATTGCATCAAGAGTTTCGTTAAACAAATTTCGAAGCACTGGGTCCTGGTAAATTGCAATAGTTCCATATTTACATGATGAAGTTTTTATCATGATGTAATTGGAGCGAAACAAATAAAATAAAAAGAACAAGTGAGAAAGAGAAACTCCGTTATACTATCACCTGAAAATTTAAACTAAGTTAACTTACCATTTTATTCTGACTTCTTTCACAACTTGCTGGCGAACCATATATTTAATCTCAAATTACGCCTAAATAAAAGAAGGCTTCATGATTGAGAACTGTTTGAATATGGTTTTATTATACAGTTATTGCATAGAGTTCCTGCCAATTCATAATTTCCAATGATTTTCAATTGGCTTTAGTACGAATCTTAAAATTTAATGTGAATTATTTTTCTAGGACGGAGAAGTAACAAATAGTAGCAGATTTGAGATGTGTTCGAGATTCATTCATGTAGAGTAGCAATTCCCAAAAGATTGTCCTTTTTTGTAGTATTTGGTCAACATGGCTTTGTAAACCATCATTATCATAATTAATAAAAACATATATACATTTAATTAGAATACTTTTCCAATTTATTCAGTAATAAGGGAAGATACAAATGCATTTCGTCACGTATGATTATTACAAAGATGGATGTGCAAAAAAGTTCCATGAAGAAAAATTTGAGCAGCACCCAAGAAAAGAATAAATACAACTAAATCATATAATTGTATAATCAACTTGGTGTTCACAGAAGGAGAATACAACTAAATCAAGCATCAATATGATCAATCAAGGGAATCAGTAATGCTGAACGATGGCATGGTACTCAAGAATGTCATTCAGCTTTGCAATGTCAACAGTAACAGTATCCACGGTAGCAATTCCGCGAGCCAAGCAAAATACTCCGGTACCTCCCAATATGGGCATTTCTCTAAAGTCATGAGATATGGGGTTATTTCCTAGAATGCTAAGAGAACTGCCCTTGTAATCTCCTTCTGTGAACACCAAGTTGATAGCCATAGACAAGACCGGTTCAGCTTGACCTACAAAGGTAAACGTGCCTTGGGCTCGACCGATGAGTTTGGATCTCGGATCTGAATCCATTGTGATGGGCGCATCCATAGCGTAGGTTGAACCAAAAGCTATAGATGCAATATTGTTGGTGTTAGCTGGGGCAATAAGAACGGATGTAGGATTATTGGCCGTAACGTTGTCGTGGACAAAGAAATGGAGTTTGGTGAGCTTAGGTTTGGCATTAAGCTGAATATGATCATGAAACCATTTCTCTACGATTTCAGGGTTGCTCTCATGATCAACATTGTTATCATTGATAGCCAAAGAAGGAGCCATGATGATTTCAAATGAATTAGACTTGCTCGAAGGTTTCTTTGTGAGTAGTTTTGAAGTGTATGATGAATGCTTTTGATGATTGTCTGTCATCTCCAGGGCCATTATATCTCTATTTATACCAGTGCATTAACGTAAAAACTAGTTTCCAAGAAATATTAAAAGTTTGAAAACCTGTCCAATTATCCCTGGCCCAGAAAAAAAGTGGACCATTCCTGTATTGGACGTTTCTTGGTCAATTCATTCCGGAAGGATAAGCCATCATTTTCTAAATATGGAATTTTAGTAGGGAACGTTTATTAAGTCATACTTACGGACAAACACAATACATATACAATTTGAAATACGTTCGATGAAGTTAATTTGAATTCATAGTCACAAATAGAAATACAATATTCTCCCTTCGTCGAAAAAAAAAAGAAAAAAAGAACTACATTGTAATTTGTAAATTGAATTTTTTTTGGTACAAGTAAATTGAACTTGTTTTTAAAAAACAAATGTTCAACTGGTGATTATCCAATTTCTAGTAAGCAACCTTGACCGTGATTCGTAGAAGCATGTCTTGGAGACAATTCCTTAGTTGGACTTTTCTGAGTCAAATATTTTTTAAAGCTAGATGGAGTCATTCTTGATCTTAAATCTAACCTGTTGCATCCACTTGGTATTTCCAAGATGATGTTTACGTAATTGCATGCATGGAACAATACAATCTTTGCCTATTTTTAATTTAGGAAGAAAAAAAATATAGGTACTTGACACATCATCGATCTCTTTTATTATACTTTTATTATATTCCCTCGGTCATAATAGAAGTTTACTAAGATTCTGGACCACTTACGTTTATGTAGTAACTTTCTTATGTGTCACTTGGACCATTCCCGTTTTAGGACTTTTCAAGGTCAATTTCACCGTATGGCAGTACAATCACGGAATGGTATTAATTCCTAAAAATTGTCAAATTCAATACTACTCAATTTGAATCCATGCAGCGGAATCTTGCAACTTGTTGCAGCAACCTCTAGCCACTAGGTATGGTTACAAGTCAAAGAGAATAGTTTCGCTTCGGTTTTCAAATTTACCAAGTCATCTTTGGTAATATCTTGGGGTGCACTTTCAAATTTTTATGTTTTCTACACTAACATGATCAAAATATATGTGGTTTATAACATTTAGTCGGAAACTAGATATGGAAGCAGAAAATGATAAAAGCTCACAAAGAAAATTGTGTCTGAAATGAAAATAGTCCATGGACACAGCTAGCATTTATTATATTTACTAGGGGGTGATGCTGCACGATGTGCAGCCTAGGGTGAGTAGCAGCCTAGTAGAATATGAGGAAATAAGAGATTTTCCAAGAGAATTGAGATAATCACAGTTTTGAGGTTTTTACTTCTAACAATTTTCACAGCTTCGAGAATTGAGATGGTCTAACACATGGAATTGCAAAGATAAAGGTACTTTTATTTTTTGCAACGCCAAACTCAACCAATATTCAGCCCAAGATATCCTTTCCCTTCTATTTATCAACTACTGAGGTAAAATTTCAGAAAGCCATGTGCAAATTATTCCAACTGTATCCTATGAAGATAAAAAGAGGAAAAACTCCCTACACTCTGGGTTCAGTACATTAACACTTCAATTGAGATGAAAGACAGATTAGGAGCATCCACACCCAGGAATAATCTTTTCCTTTTCAGGCATGGCTTCAAGTTCTTCAGTCTTGATTATTTTCCCAACCGGATTTGGCATATCTACAATACTGCTGGATCCAAATCCTTTCCAATCTTGGGACCAACCAGAAAAATTTGAGAAGACATTGAAAAAAGGATTGAAGAAATCTAAACAAATTTTCTTCTCAGCGAATAAATTTGATAAATTATGTCTGATTGACAACCTAATTACAAGTTAACAAAGCAACGAACACTTGCAATCAATTCCACTGTACTGAGTTGCCGTCCTTGTGCCCTCTTGCCGCCAATCCACCCACCATCTTATTGATGCTCTCAGCAGTCAACGGCAGTCATGTTTATCCCTCAATCAAGCTATAACTAATCAATCATCAAGGTTTAAGTCATTCTCTCAAATGGAAGACTTCTTTTTCTGCATACAATAATTTCCCAGATGATTAATAGATTTAGGGTTTGTTTGCCCAATACTTATTTTGCATTTTTGTCTCATTTTACCTCTTAAAATACCTCTCAAACACTAATCTCAATACTATCCAAACAATTTTATAATTTACCTTTTAAAAAATAATCCAAAAATTATTTTAACACAATTTTCATTCACCACCACCGGATCACCTCCACCACCACCCGCCGCCACTGGACCGCCCGCCGCCACCGCCAGACGACCGCTGGCCAGCGACGGTCCGGCCGCGGCGGCGGTGGAGGTGATTCGATGGTGGTCTAAAAATATTATTAGTTTATTTAAAATATCATTTAAACAACTTTTTAAATATTATCTCAAACCATATTCTAAATCACATCTCAAACCCAAATCAAAAACTAAAACAAAAACTAAAATAAAATGTTGGCCAAACAAGCCTTAGTCTCCTTGTTTAACAAGGCAACAAAATACAGAAGAATAACATTTGCAAACCAACATCATTAGCCAACTATCGCCTCAAATTTGATAAGAATTATTCTGAGTAACATCCATAAAGGAAAAAGAATGATCATAGACTAACTCTGCAATCTTACGTTTCTTAAGCAATTAATACTTAACATTACTCCTACCATTTTCAGCCACCTTGCTTATGCCCACGCAAATCACAACGCTAGTCCAACCACCCCATCAGTTAGCATTCAAAGGGTTTTTAGCACAGATATTTTGTGCAAGAGGCGATGATTAATGTGCAGAGAAGAAAAACGGAGAAGAATATTCAAGAAACAGAACAATATACCTTCATTAACCCTTCCAGGTCTCTACATAATTCATAAGAAAAAGTAAAATGAAAACTCTAATTGCACTTACACAGGCAAAAAATCAAACACTTTAAATGCACATGGAAGACTACACTTAGTGGCAGTTGCTCTTCTACTCAATAACTACAAAAAGAAACAACAAAGTGATGTCCCTCTGCCTACGCTAAACTCGGACGAAAATAACAAGCTGAAAACAATTGAGAAGTAAAATTTGAAGCACAGCAAGCTATACAACTTATGCAATACAAAACAAAATTGGGAGTTACCCGAAATCAAATGGGGAGCTCCTTTTATTGTGTTGGATAAGCCCATCCAGCGCCACGTGTCAAAGTTGACAGACCATTGATGCATATAGATATGAGAAATGATTTGTAATAACTGTGTCAAGATGTCCAATGATATGATGCCTCATAATTGACCATTACTTAAATGAGTTAATTTTTTTTATTTGTTTGAATTTTAGCATTAGTAGAAAAAATAATGTAAATTAAATAAGGAATTATCATCTAATCCTCAGAAGATAAGGTTTAGACTAATAAGAAACGAAATTTTTTTTTAAAAAAATATTGGTGTGGCATGATTCTTGGGAGTATATATAAAAGATGAGAGTATAATCAGCCAAAAGACTACTGTTGGCACTGAAAAAAGTTATTGAGGATCAGGGATGAACTGAAAAATGGAATACAGCAAACTAAATGGACTGGAAATGCAAGCAAAGAAGACACTGCAAGGAGTGTTTCTGAATGGCTTAAAGGAGATGGAGTGAAATGGGCAGAAGCAAAAATCTTCTAGACAAAGTAAAATGTGCCTAAACGCTGTTTTATCAGCTGGTTAGCGTGATAAGGAGGCTGCTAACTTTAGAAAGATTGACGCAGATGAATATCAAAATTACTAATCAGCAATGCACCTTATGCAAAGTCCATAAGGAAACATGGGAGCACCTCTTCTTTAGATGCCAACATGCAAAAGATGTAATGAGAGAAGTGAAGCTTTGGCTAGGACTGCAAAGTGAAATAGAAATAATTGAAGCTCAGTTACAATCTGGAGGTTCAAAAGTTTGAAGCAGAAGCTTCTGCATGCATGTATAAACGCTACAATCTAACGCAAGGAGGTTTGCATCAGGTACTCTTGCTGCTATAGATAAATTTGATATGATCAGGAAGGAGATAACTTGGAGAGTGGGTAATCTTTATAAAATAGATAGGAGCCGGTAACAAAAGATTTTAAAGTAGTTTGGAATCAATTGATTCAATGTAAATAAGAGACATGGTGAACACAAGTAAATTGGTGATTTTTTGTGATGATGTATACGATTTATATTTTAACCCAAAAAAAAAATGTAACTTTCCGTAGTTATCCTGGTATCATTCATAAGCAATTTCAATAAGCACTTGGTAAAAAACAAATTAAATTCAAAATTTTGTAAGAGGAATTATAGCAATTACAACCTTATCTTAGAAAATAAAATGCAGTTTGGTTCTGTAATTTTCAACACCTCAATAATTATTATATATATGAGGTAGTTAATTAATCCTCCATCTAGAAAGAAAAATCCCGTTTTGTGCAAGTTCAACAAATAGTATATATTTTTGGCTCATTATGCCACCAATTACAATCCCCAACAATTAAAAAGGGATGGGAAGATGCCATACAAGACTCGTTGGTGCGATTTGACAGCTTCTAAATAAAGAATATAGGAAGCAAAATTGCATCATGATTTCTAAAGCAAATTTTTTGACAAAATATCAAATATCCTTGGTCGCTAGCACAGGGTCCTGGTAAGAAAAATATATATTACTCCTTCATCCAAGAAAAATAGCTTATATTTAGTTTTAAACTTTGTCTCAAATTTCAATGTTAACTATTTTTATGAAACGTAGAAAACACCAAATAAACACAGATTAGGGTTATGTTCGACCTTTCATTCATTTGGTGGAGTAGTAAGTCCCAAAGTGATCAGTAAATTAAATAAGAGAAAATATTTAAGTGAAATAATTTTCCAATTTATTTGGTAACATATAAAGGAAAGATTACAAATGAAATTGATCATGGACGATTAGTACATAGATCGATGTACAAAAATGTTCCATGAAGGAAAATTTGAGCAGCTGCCTGGAAAAGAATAAATAACACTAAAACATATAATTATAAGTCCGACTGAACATTGATCAAGCAACAGTATGATCAATCAAGGGAATCAGTAATGCTGAACAATGGCGTGGTACTCAAGAATGTCATTCAGCTTTGCGATGTCAACAGTAACAGTATCCACGGTAGCAATCCCGCGAGCTAAGCGAAATACTCCAGTACCTCCCAATATTGGCATTTCTCTATAGTCATGAGATATGGGGTTATTCCCAAGAATACTTAGAGAACTGCCCTTATAATCTCCTTCCGTGAAAATCAAGTTGATAGCCATAGACAGGACAGGTTCAGCTTGACCTACAAAGGTAAACGTCCCTTGGGCTCGACCGATGACTTTGGAACTCGGATTTGAATCCACAGTGATTGGAGCATCCATAGCATAGGTCGAACCGAAAGCAATAGACGCAATATTGTTGGTGTTGGTTGGGGCTATAAGAACGGATGTAGGATTGTCGGCGGTAACGTTGTCGTGCACAAAGAAATGGAGTTTGGTGAGCTTAGGTTTTGCATGATGCCGATTGTGATCATGAAACCATTTCTCGACGATTTCAGGGGTGCTCTCATGATCAACTTTGTTACTATTGATAGCCAAAGAAGAAGCCATGATGATTACAAATTAATTAGACTAGCTCGAAAGTTTCTTTGTTTGTAGTTTTGAAGTATTTGACGAATGCTTTTGATGATGGTGTGATATCTCCCTGGCCATTATGTCTCTATTTATACCAATTCATTAACCTACAAGCTAGTTTCCCTGTAAAATTAAAAGTTTGAAAACTTGTCCCTTATCCTATGCCCAGAACAAAAGTGGGCCATTCCTGTATTAGACATTTCTTGGTCAATTCCAGAAGTATAAGACATCGTTTTCTAAATATGGAATTTTAGTAAGGAATGTTATTAATTTATAGTTAGGGACACACTCACTACATATATATAATTTGAATTACGTTAGATGAAGTTAATTTGAATTGGTACGTAGTCACAGCTATAAATAAAATATGCTCCCTGCGTCCAACGAAAAATAATTTTTATTATTATTAGTAAATTAAACTCTTTTATTTTGGCAAGAAAATTGAGCCTTTTTAAAAATGTTCAACTGGTGATTATCCAATTTCTAGTAAGCAACCTTGACGATGACTTGTAGATGCATGTCTTGTAGACAATTCCTTAGTTGGACTTTTCTGAGTAAAATAATTTAAGTCTAACCTGTTGCATCCACTTGTATTTCCAAGATGTATTTACGATTTTGCATGCATGGGAACAGTACTATTTTTGCCTATATTTATATTTTTAGGGAAAAAAATTCAATATAGGTGGTGACCATAAAAAATCACCGATCAATTTTATCATACTCCCTTGGTCATTACAGAAGATTACATAAGCTTCATAGATAAAGCAGTCTCGTTCGTATCCCTTACTTATAAATGCGAGTAAATCTATTTCTTTCATACCCAGACGAGATTCAATCCTTAAAATTCTAGGAGAACACATAGAATCTGATCACTAAGCTAAAACCTCCCCAAGGATGAGGTTGTTTATTAAGCCTTCTTGCGAGTTATTATGGTGGGATTTGAGTAGGCCTTGTTTTCGTAATGATAAATTAATTAATTTAGGTTCACATGCATTTACCAATAAAATAATAGTTAGGGAAAGCGATTTTTTTACTTATTTTGGCTGTTTCAAAGAAATTAACAACATTACTCAAGGTGTCATTAACGAAACTAGCGCAATTTAAATATTTGGGTCAAAAATTCCTTGCCTTACAGCCCAGCTCTCTCCAGCGCAATATAGAGGGACGATCCAACAGTAAATCTGTCCAAGAAAAATTTTGAACGGCCCAAGAGGCCCCCCAGCAATGGCGCGTGTGACCAAAGCGCGGTTTTGCTAATGGCTTCCTGACTCCGCGCTTCTCGAGGGTTGATTGGAGGACTAGGTTTGAAATCACTTAATGGATGATGGAGAGAGAAAGATAACAGCTCAACAGTTTCACCCTTTCTTCAACGGAAAAATCTTTTCCGATTTCAAATCTCAATTGAATCTGAAGCTGTTACACTGAGACCTATTAAAGCAGCAACCCTGTGTTAACAAAAGTCCCACATCTGTCGATCTAATTCCTCACTAGCAGCTGAAATTCCTTCAACCTAAGCAAAGGACCCTTGTCTCTCTCCTTCTGGCTTTTTTTAATTTTTTGATGTGTGTTGCAATTGTGAAGGAAGAATGGTTAGTACCAGTGACGCGAATCCCATGGCCTATGACAAAACCAAAGCTGCAACCCATGGATGAAACCAAAAGATATCAATTTCTTGCAATCGTATGAAGAGTATGTGATGTTGCCGTACAACAAATCCTTGCGAAACTTTGGGCCCCAATTTTCCATCGGTGCTGGAAAATCTCAAAGAATACATCCCGATATTGAGCCCAGACGATGCTTACCACAAATATGAGAACCCCTGTAAGTTCGAGAACTTTGTTAGAATTCAGGTATGGCCATGGTCTGACAAACCAGAGACCCAAGATGCATTTGTTAAGCGGTACAATCAATTGGAGCCAGAATACGGAGATACCTGGAGGATGGCCGGCATTTACGACTTGTTGCAATTTTGCACAATAGAGCTTGCAGAGAGCCGAGATTTGGTGGAAGCGGTGCTGGGTTTCAGGAGTGGTACCAGGAATGTTTTCTGCGTTCCTTGGGGGCCAATGACACCAACCTTGCTTGATGTTTGTGTTACTACAGGTCTGCCTGCCATTGCAACTGTAGCTGTTGATGGCAGTGTGACAGATGATGATGCAGCTGCAGCGGCGGCACGTCAACCAAGGAGTTATGGCCCCTTTATCAGCGAGAACAAAGGGAAGTTAAGTCGCTTACAATATATTCGATTTTTGTCTTCGTGGTTGAACAGGTATGTGTTTCCTGGGAAATCTTTTCAGATGACTATGGATTGGTATCATGTGGCTGGTAGATTACTTCTGGAGAACAAATGAATTTGGCAGAAGCTGCTCTGGCAATGCTTTACAACAATCTGCATGAAGCTAGCCATAATCCAGGTTCAACGTTATGTGGTCCTATTTGGTTGTTGCATTTTTTGTTGTATGTATTTCCCTAGTCTAAAACCAGAAGGGATTTTCCCTATTGAGAGTGGAGAATCCCTGTGTCTGGGGGTGCAACAGTATAAATTGGTGGCATAGGTGTGATGGTGCAACAACTGAGCCACGATTGGTGGCATAAGAGCTTTGGCAACATTTGTCATTCGGAGGCAGAGAGTAGAAGATGGGATAACATTAGCACGTTTGCCTTGACATCCGTATGGAGCCATCTTCTTGCAGCAAAGGACATCTTTTATGGTAGTAACAGTGTGCAATCCTGCAATGTTGGTGCTGATATGCATGTAGAATATTACCCGGCTAACCTGGTAGCCCACCAGTTTGTTTTTGCGCAAAGCGTGCCACATTTTGAAGTATCTGGTTGGAACACAAGGAGACTTAGTAGGGAGAAATTGACCATGGTGCAATGTATAGCTCACAGGGAGTTGATGGCTGTTCGGAGCCGAATCTCTCTAATAACACCATTCAAATTTTACTTTGAAGCAACACCTGGGTTTACAAAATGGCGGGGAGAGCGGTGAAATACTATGTACGGCTTTGGGTACGAGGTAGTCAAGACTACATCTCGTATTGGTAAATATGTGAAACCCAAAGTTGTTACTGGTGAAGCTAAAGCAGAACCAAAAGGTTAGACATCCCCTTTGACTATTTATTGTTGCGGCTTACATTCACATAGTTGTCTAACTGTTGCCTCTGTAGGGAAGAGTAACGGTGGAGAAAAAGTAAAAACTGGTTCTCAGAAGACTAAGAAAACCTCTGTTGTTGCTGGAGGAAAAGCTAAACCAACTCCTGCTAAGGGAGCTCCAACCACGACTCGCTGGTGATGAGAATCATGTAGCCTTCCATGGAGGTTCTCCTAGTGAGGGGAATGAGCTAGTCCTTCATTCTAGTTTTGGAATGCCAAGTTTACTTTGCAGGCCAATCAAGGAAGAAAGGATGAATCTTGACTACCTATGTGATAGGGAGTTGGTTCAAAAGAGCTATGATCAAGGTGATGAGAATGTCATTAACTTTGGGGTTCAAACCAAAGGAGATGAAGACCTCATGGAAATAAGTGCTGAAGAGTATCAAGAGAGTTTGACTCTGTGTGCTCCATGAAGATCATTGATCAAGCTAGTGAGAAGAGTCATTAGGTTCTTGAATGGACGGCCTATTTGATCAAAGTATTCAAGATTGAGTCCATTGCTACACAATTGGATAGGTTGCAAACTATCTTAATTATTTCAAGTGTTTTTCCAATCTTTTGGAGTCAATAAAGAGAATTCTACAAGTTTTGGAGTAAATTGGAGTTTTCTACAACTTAAGGGGCGCAAGACCAATATTCCACTTTTGGAAGGGCGTTCAAGACATTTTACTCCAACAATTTGGAGCTGAATTTCGAGATTAGATTTAGTCTAAGTCTAGGAGTCAATTTTTGAATTTTTATCTAGTTAAATAAGTCATGTGGACTGAATTAAACTAGAGTGTTTTGATTAGGAGTCTTAGATTCCTTCTAGATATTATCCTACTTGAGGATAAGTCATTTAGATAAGGTTTCCTAGATTTTAGATAGAGTCAAAGATCAAGTACTCTTCTACTTTTACTCCTTGGGAGATAAGATTAGAGAGTCCTAATTGGTCTTCTTTTTAGTGGTGCTGGCCGAAAATTCTAAGCCTATAAATAGGAGGCTTGGCCGAATTTCTTAAGCACTCTTGAGTGGTCATTTTTGTTGTCTCTTTTGAGAGTTTTTCCTGTGAGGAATTTTTGTTAAATGGAGTGTCCATTTTTCGTGTCAAGTATGATTAAACCAAGAGGGTTTTCATCTTGTCTTGGATCTTTTTGATCTTGCAGAAACCGTTCTTTTTCAAGTATGCTTCTTGATAGAATTGTTTTAAAACTAAACTTCTTATTTTCATACTACTTCTAGTAGTTCGATTGATGAGCCTTTCCTTTGGCTTGGTGTTCGAATGTCATGATGAGTGTGTTCATGAGATCCATTGTGGGGTTTGTTCTACATTTGTTGGATGAGTTGTGCTTTGGCATAAGCATTTTGAGATAGTGTATGTGTTGCATATCTTCGGTTGGTTATGAAGATTACTAATCAATAGTATTCCTTCATAGTTGGGCACTGTTTGCTCCTACCTTTCTTGAGTCTCTTGATAGATGACTGATCGAGTATATTGAATGGTGTCCTTGCTATTCTTAGCGTGGGTTGTTGTTTAATTCAAATCTTTCATGGATAATGTGTTCTTTGCTTAGTTTGAGTTAAGAGATAGAGTCACTTAGATAAACGATCGTCTTACTGTGAATTTTCCGCACTCTTTTGAGTTTCACGGAATAGACAAAATTATCTTCGTACTTTCTTGTTGATGGTTGGATTAATGAAATTTGCTTCGTCTACGAGATTGCTATCAGCTGGTCTACCAGACTGATTGGATAGAAGCGTTGTGCAAGTGAAGCCAAGAACAAGGTAAAGTAGCACAGTCAACCTGTCACTCTGCTAGGATTTAATGTGTACCAAATATG